TCTAAGAGCCGTGCTTAGAGAGTGCTTTGTAGTGAATCAGAATAGTCGACTCCCATTGAGCGAGAGCCGGCTCCTCACTTAATTTCCTTTCGCTGCTCAGCTCTCAGACATTGGCTCAGCTATGCTCCCTTCCCTCCATATTGTGGCCAATCATATGCGAGAATATAGGATATTATCATTACATGAAAAACAGAGAGGGTGATGGACGCAAGTCAAGTGGAGCGTGTGTCTGTCCTCTCAGTAAGTGAGTGAGATAGTAGACAGCCGTGAGGAGAGCTGTGGAAAAGCAAAAACACATAAATATGCCTCACACCCGTAAACGAAGCAGCATCTGGCTGCAGTTTAAAGACTTTTTTTTGTTGCGGTCTTGGTCTCGCCTCGACTTGGTCTTTTCTTGGTCTCGGTTTAGGCGGTCTTGACTACAAGTCACCAAACATTGACAAAAAAGGGAAATCAGGAAGAGAGCAAACACTTTTTCACACCACCGTATTTCAAAACTATTTGCTGCACTTTTTTTCTGTCAGGAAATAACAGATGACGTTACTGTCAAATGAAGCACGAAATGCCACTGTGTGCATCAGCCTGTGGGTGACTTGTTTATAAGAAATAAAATACCAAATTAACCACTCTCCTGTTAATATAGCACATATACAGCTGTGCCAACTCATTCTCAGTTAAGTCTGGTTCACTGACCTTCATTCATAGAACTAGTGTTACTTCTGTAACCATTTCTTTTATTTCATACTTGTAACCAAGCCACCACTGTTACACTGATGGTGCTTGAAAATGAACAAAACAGTCAAGCAAATAAAGTCAGGAGAGACGTGTACCAAGGCTGCAAATCTCATGACACACGTAAAACAGTAAAGGATTCATTGACAAAGTGAAGAAACGGGCCTCTGACTTCATCGTCCATGAAGACTATTGCTGAAAAAGCAATAAAACTGAAGAGACCTACGTGGCTTCTGACAACAAAGTGGTACAGTCATCTCAGTAACGTAACTGGCTAGTTAGCTGCCAACAGTAGTGTAAACAGCGAGCTACTTACTCGTATTGATAGCTGTAAACGTTACGTTACAGTACTGCTAAACAACATGTTCGCCTCGAATGGATGAAATGTCACCAAGCCAACAACATGCACACCTCGGCATCTACAAATTTCATTGAAAGCGTAATAAACCATGATGCACATGCCTTAAACACTTAAAGCTGTAAGCGGATGATAGTTATACAAGGGCAGATGCATGCTGGTGCAATAAGCTGTACATTTTATGTCCTATGGATGCATAATCTGGTTAGTCAACTGATCGCAAAAATAATTGGTAACTAGTCAAAATAATCATTTGTGGTAGCCCTACTGTGTATTCAGAGAATTTCTGGAGGAGCCAAGTTTCTGTGAAGTACTTTAAAAATAAAGACAAGATGATAGTTTATTAAATTTTAATGAAATTTGCAGATTGTTTCGGTGGAGTTTAATAAACTCAGCCGTCTGCTCCTTGCAATCTAAAATATAACAGGACACCGGAGTATATCCTCGAGCATCTCACACTTCTGATAATCAGCTGTCTGCTTGACGTTTATTCAGCTGTGTAAAAACTATAACTTTAATCTCAGCCAGACTGATTTACTCGGGAACAAATAAAATACTGAAAAAAGCCAAACAATAACATTTTTAAGTGGCTGCGATGGGCCAAGTAGCAGCAGTGGGCTTCCCACTGACTCCCTCTCCTGAGCCTCGATACTTGTAATCCTAAAGGCAAAGGAAATCAAAAGTGACAGTAGACAAATAAAAACCACACAACTCTTAGTAATTGCACATTTATTAACTTGTGTTCTTAAGAATTATTGTCTTGATAACACTAGGGATGAGTATCGTTTAGGTTTTACTCGATACTGGTGCCAAAAAGGTACTTTTGAAATGGTGCCGGTGCTTAAACGGTACTCGAACTGGTGCTTAAAGAATGGAGAACACAAACTTTGTCTAAAAACCTCTCATGTTTAGCTGTTTTTTTTTGTGAAGTCTGCACGTTCGACCCAAGTTGAAATGGAGACTCTGGGCCCGTCGACCCCAGAGGGTTAATCAGAAAGCCTTAAGTAGGATAGTTATGTATCGGGCTAATGTTTAAAGCTTTCACTTGAGCAAAGTAACTCATATTACTGCTAAGTAATGTTAGCTAAGTTCACAACATATTCCATAATAGCGCTGCCATACTGCATCACACTCAGTGCATTTCAATCATTGCTCCAGCGAGTTTGATAGCAAAATAATCATAATTTTAAAAAATAGCATGTGTAACGTACACGTACTGGAAAATTATTTACTAGGACTCACCTATCATTAGGGATGGGTACCGGAGTGTTCTGACATAAACGGTAGTAACCAGACCGAAAAGCAGCGCACATTTCGGTGCTTTATTTTGGTGCTTTTTTTTTCCTGAGCTGTGATACACTTTAGATTCTAGCCAATCATTTTACGTTTCCGAGGATAGTAGGCGGGGCCAGGTACGTACGTTCTGTTAGAGCAGAGCTACAGATTAAAAATGCCCAAGGCGACGCAGTCAAAAGTCTGGCTGTACTTCATAGCAAAATATGCAAACTCAGCAGCCGGCAACAAGTGCTTTAAGCTGATACTGTGATACTGTCAAAGGAGGTAACACCAAGAATCCGAT